TTATTTTGTTTAATTAATCATTTATTTACATTGTTTAATAGAAGGAGTGTTAGCTCAATTCTGTTAGCACCCTGTTATCTCTCGGGTCCAGGCGTGATTTATGATCTCCTCTTCTTTCAAACAGAAATGGGGAAAACATCCAGAGGTGCAGTCAGATGGGCTCTTGTCTTGGTGGAAGTTATTCAATCCTTTGTCAGCTGTCAAAGTCTTTTTTATACTGTCTGAGACATCCTGAAGGTGTAGTGCATATAAATGTGTTAGATGTGATATAGTGTTTATTTGATTTTCCAGTGATCAGATTTCCCCTGTGCAAGCAAACAGGCTCATTTCTGTGATTTTTCTTTCCTGAAATCAAGCAAACAAAACAAGGAGTTTAAAATTGAGTAAGATCTTTAATGCATTCCAGACAGATTAGGTCTTTTGTTTTCAAAGGTCAAGATAATGTAACAAAAGCGTGGTTTGATTCCTTTTGCGATATTCTGCTTTGAAAAGGTCGATAAAGTGTTCAAACAAAGGATGGCTGTGATGAGAAGCCACCTGATGCAGTTACATTATTTGCAGTGCATTTGTGCAACTTCCGGGGCCTGTAGAAAACACTCCCCTATCAGTAAAAAGTCCTCCTTTGTCTGTTTTACTGCTAGCCGTTTTATTTATGGGCTTCAACTTCCCCCAGATGTATCTGAGGAAATGCTACCATTGTTTGGTCATTTTAAACAAATATACATGCAAACTGTTTTATGTCAAACCACATCTGCTTAAGTTTTTCTAGCTGTTGTTTTCAACTAAGAAGTGTGCACTGCGTGTAAGTGATGCAGGTTGTGATCGAGATCTCTTTATCTAATGAGACTGATAAGGAGCTTTAATTTTGTCTCCTGTTTGCGGAAAATACAGAGAGCAAAGGAAAAAAACAGCAGCCCCTCTCTGGTAAATCTGCCAAAACCCACAGCAATCTTTCTAAGAAACAAAGCTCCTCGAATGGTCTATGTGAGGGGGTGGGAGGGCTGTGTGTGTGTTTAATGAAACATCATTTTGTAAAGTTCGACAAACATGTGGCGCTGTCTTTGAATTTCAACAACAGTTTTGTTTTGGCATTGAGTAACTAATGTGTTTCAAAAGGAAATAATAAGCAACTTTAAAAAATCAAAATTATTGAATCAGGCACCACTTCATATTTAGAAATGAATAGCAAAAAGCTCACATATTGTCAGTTATTGTTTTAAGACTACCTGCCTACAGAGGTGTGATATAGAACAATATGAGGATTGGGTTTTTGCACTGGTTTTTGCAATAGAAAGTAAATACAGACCCATTATCCCCAAAATACAAGCGTTTATTAACAAAACACTTGTACTTCCAGTTATAATGCTTTGGTCAAGAGACTTTTAAATTGATTGTAACATATAACTAAAATACTAAGTAAAAACAATAAAAAATAAATTATAAACTTGATAACATATATAAAACTGTAAAAAAGCAACAAAAAAAAGAACATGAAAAACAAAATACAGTGGTTTAACAGGACTGCCTGGATGTAGGTTATATTTAGAACCAGAGTTTGTTATGGGGAATTTAGAAGAGGACAAATTAGCTTTAAAACTAATTTAGAAAAACATTTTGTCATGATCGGTTCTCTAATGGAGACCCAAAGATGCAGAACACCACTGACGGACACAGGATGAAAAGTTTAACAGGTTTATTTGCACAGTTTCACAGAAAATGCAGATGGCTGGTTCGGGCCTGGATTCAGGTTTCACCGGAGTCTGCGTGAGAGACAGCAACGTTAAGGACTGTTGACGGAGTTTGGTTTCCAATGATGCACAGATAGTACCTTGTGGTTTCTTGAGGTTCTCTTTGGGAGAGTCACTGTTGGTTCTGGAGAAGGATTTAGTAGCAGAGTCCGTTAGCTGCTTCAACGTCTCACGTCTAGCTTGAGCAGACCTTGGCCTTGGTTTCCCAGCTCTAGCCCAGAGCTGTTTGGAGTTTGACTGAGAATCTTCAGGGTTTGGCTCTGAGGGTCGGCTCGGCAGGTTAGCTCTTCCAGAGCTTTCACGGAGGAAGCACAAGTTTCCTAGAAGCACAGAAACAGAGGTTAGAATCCAACTAGGGATTAAGGTCATGGAAAATCACTGAGATCTAGGCTTTAGCGCTGACCAACTGGAACAACACTGCGGCGTTGAGGCAAGGTCTGAAGACAGCTTATGTAGTGGATCCTCTGATGATCTTGATTAGCAGCATCTGTGCAGGAGGCTCCCTCAGAGGATCCACGGCGGACTCTGCTGGAGAAAGATGGGATTTTCTCCAGCTCCCAACACATTTTGTATCTACCTAAATTTGAGAATGCAAAGCAGAAGAAAATAAAAAAAATATTTTTTAAGTATAGTACATTAGTTTGTAGCATTTAAAGGAACAATGCCAAAAAAGTAAACCCCTATGTCAACATGCCAGACAGATGTAAGAAACATACATATACAAAAGAAAAAAAAAATTGAGGCCTAGGTATGAATGTCCCACAAAAAGTCACATTAAATACAACAAAAACATTTTAAATAAATACTTAAGTTATGGGTTGTCAATATTTACTCTCCACCTTCTATTAACGCATCTGGAAGGTCTGTTATTTCCATATAGGCAAGGAATTATCTCCAAATCTGATCCAATAGCTCTTCTTTACCCTTCAAAGTGTAAGATTCCCCTATCCAAAGACATACATATAGTTTTTTCCAATACTGATAATCCTTTAGCTTATAATGAGGAAATGTTAAGTAGTTCAATAGAGTTATGGTTCATATAGTTGTTTGGTGGCTATATTTCAAGAATTAACAGTTTTGGATTCCCTGGAATATTTACGTTTAGTATGCTTTCCATTCCAATTTCTATAGTGTTTCAGAACTTTTGTACCCAGTGACATTCCCACAAGCAGCTCAACAGAGCCCTTCGGCTTTATTTAAAATCTTTTTATTGCACTTATAAAAGAGAAAGGGCTCTGTTACGACCCGTCTAGGGTTGCCAGACCATAACATATTAAAGAGTGGATCCATCCTCTTCCCATCCCAAGTAGCTCACACATACGAAGTTGCACCTCTTTAGAAAGTGATTTATTTACAAAAAGGAAAATAGTTTTAAAGTTACATAATAAGTGGAGTAAATGGCTTCAGAGAGAGCTATATGCCAAAAATAACAAAAAAAAGGCAACTGTCTAAAACAAAGAAATGAACCAACTTACCTACTGCAGTATAAGTAAACAAATGACAGTCACCTTACCTCCCTAACTAAGAAAAACAGGAGAAAACTTAAACAACAGAAATGGCAGCTCACTCTTACAAGCTCCAGAATGTTCAGGTGTTAACAGTGTGGCCAGTTGGGAAGAGTGGAGGACGGAACCAGGAAGTCCACATCAGCAGCCTTTTTATAATTGTCACTTCCAGGAAGCCACCAATGGGATGTGATGTCGTCATCGTCCTGGAACCAATCAGCAACTGGCACCTGCAGACTTACATTTGCACACAAATTAACACCAGCTGTAACAGGCTCCCTCTTTGAATTTGGAACCTTTATTCGCCCATGCCAGGACGCAAAGATCAACTGTTACACCACAAAACTACTTCTTCTGCTACAGATACTACTCCCGCTATTAAGAGTGACCTACTGTAGGACCCAGATCAGCTGCACCTGAACTAAAGTAATCAGATGTAATATTTAAACAATAGATTTGAAATGACTTGAAAAATAAGGTATAATGAATAAATCAATAAAATAGTGAAAAAATGATACTAATCAAAATTAAATATGTCCAGGTTTCAGTATTTTGCTGTGCAAGGAGAACAGCACACACAATTTCCCATGCTAGTAAGGACTATATGGACATGTTTAATGCACGTAGGTAAGAGTGGATGAAAGTAAGACAAATAAAACAGAAATCATTATGTTTCCATACCATTAGTGTGATAGTGAATTAAAGTTTGTTGCACATTTCAAGCACAACCCAAAATATACTTGCAAAACAAAATTAAGTTAACTATATCTAGATTGCTTTAGCCTAAACTAATTATCTCTGTTTGGGAAAAAAAAAAAAAAAAAAGAAAGAAAAACATCTTTAAATGCATCAACATGGAGAAAACAATGATAGTTTAATAGCATGATTTAGAGAGATTGCTATTAGAAAATATTTGCCTGGCTTTTTGAACTGTTAGGTCACTTCCTATCCATCCTTCTACCCCAATTCAACCAGCTGTTTTGTGTTGTAAGAGGGGCATTTAAACTTATTCCATATCTCAACTAGAAAGTGTGCTGGTTCTAAAATGGGTGTGTAGGTTTTGATAACAGTCGTGGGGTGGGGGCAGAAGGAAGGTAGCATAAAACTTATGCAACAACTCCAAACTGCAATGAGTCTCCCTTCTTGGTGAGAACTGATTTTAAGCTCTTCCATAGAGTTTGCACTATGTGGGCATTTATAGTCTTTCCAAACCCTGCAAGCTACATGTTTCAACTCTTTGTAAGTAATCATGGATGACGGTTGTGTGATATTTTAAGTAGTTTTTTAACTCGAGCTTCGAGGACCGCTGTCCTGCACCTTTTAAATACAGAGTGGGAAGAGCTTGACTGCATGCTGAGGATGGGATTCAGCCATTTGATTAAATTATTGAAGCAAAGACACATCTCAAATGCACAGGATGTCAGATTTCAGTAACTGGAATCGAGGAAGCCTGACCTAGCACAAACCAAGGCGTTTATGCATTTAAAATTGAGGGATGAATAGATCTAAGGAAGGATTAGTAAAGCTGCATGAGATCAGACTGATCCAGAGAGTATCTGTCCAGTGCCTTATGTGTCAACAATTCAATTTTAAGACACATTCTTACATTTTTTTATAAATCTGTTCTTTCATCATCCTTTATAGCTTTGTCCAGGATCTGTTAATTGGAGCAGCATTCTGAACAGAGACACTCAGACCTTTATGAAAACCACACACTTGTCTCTGCTTCTTCTTTTCTCTACATTAGGTAACTGGGGAGGAATATGTTCACAGTATACGGGCCTCCGTAATGGCCGTATGTCCACCCTGAATACGGGACTGATCACGATTCAGAACTACGGACAGTTCCAGCCTCCTCGACAGGTTCAGTTGACCTTGGCACATGAACTGGGTCACAGCCTGGGATCTCCGGTCAGTCCTCTTTCCTAACACTCAGCATCCACACCTATGTATAACTCTAAAATGTGTTTATTAAAACTATCTTTAAAATTGGATCAGGACAATTTCAATTTCAACACAGACTATACCAACAATAATGACTTCTTGCTTTTTATGTCTGACTTCATATTAAAACACCACACCACTTTAACTATTTAACTTGTCATTAATTGCTTAACTCCAGACTTGATTATTTCAGTGAACCTTGTAAGGGGAAAATTGGTTAAAAAAAAATTTTATGATTGTGTTTTAACCAGTAGTCGCTTTCCTCTCATTCTAATCTGTGCTTCCATCTATGTTAACTTAACCTGTGGCCATGAAACTCTGTCAAACTAGATATATAATATATTAGCATGTAAGAGCATGTTAATACAACTAGGAATATTTTTACTAAAAGTATTGCTTTCAAACAATCCTATTTCTTATCATTTCTGCACACCCTTTGATTTGTCTATTAACACTTTAGTCTTAATAAATGTATTTAAAAAAATAAATTGATAACTGGAAAACAAATTAGTCTAAATGTTTTCCCAGATTTTTGCAGCAAAACAACCTTCCTCCCATCTTTTTAATATAGTCGCGTTTGGAATTATTATTAAGATTTCTCCATTAAGGTTTTAAAATGAAGTTTGATTCATTTACAATTTTTAATACTTCTTTATGTAGTTTCATGTTTCATTTTTCAGAAATAGATTTTTATCCACAAACTTCATGTTTATTTTTCCCTTCTACAGTGCCCCTTCCTGCAGGTCCATATTTGCATCTTAAATGTAACATTAACAAGTGCTTTTCTTTTATTTGTTTATTTATTTCCTCCAAAGACATCTCAGGACAGTGGCCTAATCACTTCATTAAACCCAGATTCATCCAGCATGAAGTAGGCATACCTGAACAATATAGTACTGCCGCCTTTTATGTATGACCTTCAAATATTTGGAGTGATTGTGTATTGATACTTTGGTAGGTGAGCACCCACAGTACTTATTTAGTTTTCACAACACCTGTCAATAAAAAGAAATACCATGATCTGACTCAAAGTAAATATTTTTTACTAAGCATACATGTGTGTTTGCATCAGGCTTGAACAAATTGTACCTGTTCACCTGAAAAGACACTACAGACTTTGGCCTATTGATTGTCTATTTTAGAAGAGACACTGGCGTCACCAAATGAGCTCTGATGTCACTAACATTCATCCATCCATTTTCCGTCATGCTTTATCCCTCCTGGGGTCGAACGGGGTGCTGGTGCCTATCTCTAGCTGCCTACTGGCAAGAGGCAGGGTACACCCTGGACAGGTCACAAGGCAACACAGAGACAAAAAGGACAAACAACCATTCACGCACACACTCACACCTAAGGAGAATTTAGAGAAGTCAGTTAACCTAACGTGCAAACTCCATGTCACTAACATACAAATTATTTTATATCAGATTAAGAATGCAGCTCATTTGGTCTTTGACGTATTGTCTGACATGACTTTCTAATTATAACCCTTTTCACTCTTTTTATGCCATACATTTTTTCTGGAAATATATATACATGACTTTTACAAATAATAATTGAAAGCACAATAATTTTGCTTTCAATCATATTTGCTTGTGAGCTAAAGGTCCTGTGAAAATACAATAAAAAAAACATAATGTAGTGTAAAATTGTAACACATGGCAAGAAATAATTCAAAACAGAGAACATCATAACCAAGGAACTACTTTAAGAAAAACAAAGCACTAACATCTGCTGTATCACATCTCCCTCTTATTACCCAGAGATTTAGGCTCTGGCTAATTCAGAGGGGAGCATAAAAGTGTCATTTATTACAACTGTCACAGTAATCAGGAGCAGATTCAATAAAACCATCAAGGTTAGTTCCATAAATTTTTATATGTTCATTTTAAATATTCAGACTGGTTTATTAACTCTACTAATGGTCTAAAGTTCAAGAGAGGGCGAGTTTTACCAAATATTGCATCACAATACAGAACAGGAACCCGCTGCTCTGTCCTGGTTGTCCTGCATGAGGAACATCCCATTTCCTTCTTGTTTTCTGTTCAGTGATGAACAGAACATTTAATCGCGACAGATTGCTCCGAATAGGTTTTACATTTCTGAAAACCTACTAAGTAGTTTAAGCTTCACCACATCCAGCTGAGAACATTTTTCTGACCTGTAACAATTTTGAGGTCAGCAATAAAGGGAGTTAATTTCCACATCTGTAATAAAAAATGGAGCAGCATCATTCCAGTTTGGTTAGATGATTTGTTTTCTCCCGCTGTTTCTCCCAGCTGTTTAAAGTCACAAATTCACAACAAGAAGATATCCAAGTCTGTTATTTTGTCTGTGCCTCAGCATGATGAGGGCTCTAACTGCGGCAACCTTGGCTCCTCTGGTGGCAAAGGCCGCTACCTGATGTTTCCACACGCCACAGACGAGGTGCGCGAAAACAACGACAAGTTCTCCCCCTGCAGCATTAAACATATCAACAAGATCCTGAATCTGAAGAAAGATGAGTGCTTCGTGGGTGAGACACAAATACTAGCCCAACTGCATCTTTTGCTACGTTTAATACTCAAGCTGTAGAACCTCCTTTTAAAATCTTTTTTTTTTTCTCAGTCAATGATCAGCCCATCTGTGGAAACCGTATTGTGGAGGAAGGTGAGGAGTGTGATGTCGGTCACAATGACACAGATCTCTGCTGCTTCAGTGCTAGAGAGGTTGTAGGAGTCCAGTGTCGACTTAAGCCTGGTAAAGTCTGCAGGTATTTACTGCTTAAAACGTGTTAATCTAATCTATCAGCTTTTAGTTATTATTAACATATTGAGTGCCCAGCAAAACCATGCAAATTAAATTTAGTTTTAACACTTTGTCAAGTTACAAACACAAACCCCTGTGTACGTATCTGGTCCACAGAATCAGCCCTATGTACTCTTTGATGCTTTAACACTTTTATTCTGCCCCCTCCATGTTTATCTTGGGGGGTTGGGTAGGGGTATATGCAGCAAACTGCAAACATGACTTAAGGTTTTTTTCAATAAGGGTTTTGTTGTTGCCGCTTTAGCAAAATGGCAAAAAGAAAAGCTGCTTTTTCTGTTTACAGATTCTCCTGCCTGAGCTGAGGATCTCTGCAGCTCCTGCAGAGTTACCAGAGGCCTAAAGGCTGATACTCTGATTAGTCTTGTCTGTATGAGACACATTAGTTTAGGGGGACTATATCTTAGATAAATTGTAATCCAGGAGATATTCAGAGCTTGGGATTCTGTTTTTCTGTTTTAAACACCAAAACCTGCTTTTTGTGCTGTTTCACCAATTTTATTAATATTTTTTGGTCATTGTGATGTTTTAATTTGAGCTTTTTTAAACAAAGCTCTGAGGTCTTTACAGAACAACTATATTAGTAATATTATACATACATGCTTCATTTTTAGGTCATTTATTAGCTGACTGGTGGGGGAGCTTTATAGGTTGAGTAAAGGTTTGAAGGGGACCCAAATGCAGGGACTGAAGCTCATGGTGGTTTCTAGCAGATTTAATAACAAAAGGTGATAACTGACGCAAAACTCCAAAATAAAGAATTACCAAAATAAACAGAGGGACATCAGGAAAAACACACAAGGAGCCAGGAAATGACAAGGAACCAGCAAACAGTGACTGAAAAGGAGGTGTATAAATGGGAGACTGAACAAAGGCCAGGCTAATCAGATCAGATCAAATCAGATTAGGAGCAGGTGTGGACAGAGGAATCAAAAAGCGAGCTATGGGAAGGAGACTGACACAAGAAGGCAAAAGAGGGTAAAAAAGAAATACTTAAAAACTCAAAATATAACATAACCAAAAACAAAATGGAAATTAAACAAATAAACTAGAAAACACAAAAAGACATGAATCAAAGTATAACTGAAAACTCAAAAAGAAAACTGTGCAGAATCATGACAGCGCTCTTTCCGAATTTTTATTTTCAAAAAAGATTTTTAAAATTATCCTTTGAACTATTTATTTAAAATCATTAAATCATGTGAAGTTCTAATGTGATAATATGTAGGTAAAATGCATTGGGAGTGAATGTTTCCATAATAGTGTAAATTTTTTTACCTGTTTCTTTATCAGTCCTAGTCAGGGCCTGTGCTGCGGTCCGAACTGTGAGTTTAAACCTTTGGGTCAGATGTGCGAAGAGGAGGCCGACTGTGAAAAGGAGAGCATGTGTTCAGGCCTCTCTCCATTCTGCCCTGAACCAGACCCCAAGGACAACCTGACAGTCTGCAGCGAGGGCACACGCGTCTGCCTGAATGGGGTGAGGCACAGCCACGTTTTAGACTGTGACCCAACTCTCTTTCTCCATTACCCAACAATTCAGGCAGCAATCCTGCAAAGCCGGTCTGCAAAGGGAAATGCTTAACCTTTAGATCCACACTGAGAAAGGGGAAAAAAACTGCTGTCATGATCCCAGTTTGACATATCCAGACTCTAAAAGATTGATTTATGCTTACTAAACTCACAGTTAAACTTGTTATTTGTTTATTAAATTCACACATTTGTGAGCTTCCTGTTTTGGTTCTAGCCTAATTATTTCAACAGCCATCTGGGATTAATTTGACAAATCACAACAGAGCTTTATTTGCAAACAACTACTGCAAAGAATTAGTGGGAAAGTAGCTCCGAATCACACACCTCCGAATCCTGTAGCATCCAGTACACTTTTTTTTCTAAGTGAATTTATTCCAGCTGTGATTGTTGCTTTATCCCTCTCCAGATGAGCAGATTGCACTAATCTCTGATGACCTGATTTAGTTAAAGGAATTGCAGTACCTGGAAAAGGTTTCTGAGAAAAATTATTCATGCAGAAATAATTAAGAAACAAAGCATGATTAAGGTTTTAAAATGTGTCAAGATTTCTGGTTACTCTTTTTTTCTGAAAATTGTATTTTGAGGCAAAAAAAAAAAAAAGTCAAAATATGAATGGAGAACAGTAAAGGACAGAAAAAGACTAGGGAACAAATTGTGGAAAAACAGAACATGAAAACATAGCGATAAAGTCAACAAAGTTCACTGAAACAAAACCAGAAAAAAACAAGCAAAAAACAATCCAATTCAAAACAAAATCACTCCAAACTCATTGACTAGGTCTAGATCACATTTGGAAAATATTCCATATATGGGATAAATATGAAACACTTTCTCCCAGCCATCCAGAAGGTAGGCTCTAAAACCATTGACTCCAGAATTTGACTCCTAATGTAAAAGTAATTTTTCCAGATGGAAAATTTCTCAGATTCTGCATCAAATCAGGCTAAAGGATTTCAATTATTGAAACACTGGAATCCTGGTGACTTTGATGCAAGTTCTTGACCTTTTTACTTCTAATTAAAGATTGTGTAACAAAAACTCAGCTAATTGAATTCAACATGGTTTAACCTGAGCTTGAAGCCCCAATTTACTCATTAAAAACTTTTTGATATATTGCTATTTGCTTCATCAGTGTGAATGGGTGTCTGGTTCTGTCTGCAGGTCTGCTCTGAGTCTGTGTGCATAAAGCACGGCCTGCAGCAGTGTGACTGTCCAGGATCCAACATGAAGGAGAAATGCCACGTGTGCTGCCAGCAGCCTGGTAAACACAGAACCCTGTGTCCTCCACCACTGAGCATTCTGTTTACAACTCTGAGCCCAAACAGCTTATCCAGATGTTCTCTCCTCTCCAGATATTTTTCAGTCTATAAATCAAGTTTTACTTTGATCATTAACACATTTGTATTTTAAACAATGACCAGACACTGTTACCAGTTTACCTTAACATATATAGATACCCTACAATACAATAGATAACACAGCCTAACTGTGTATGTTTCAGGTAAGCCACAGACATGTGCCAGCACCTCCTCCTCGGTTATGTCCCGTCACTTCCAGAAAAGGTTGCTGCCTCTGGTTGCAGGCGCTCCTTGCTCAGGGAACCAAGGATACTGTGACAAATTCCACGTGTGTCGGCTGCTGGATGCAGACGGCCCAATTGCCAGACTGAAGAACTCTTTCCTTCATTTGGATGATTTTGACGATCTGGGGGAATGGATGAAGGTGATTTTTTATTTTTATTTTTTTTTAATTGTATCTTTTTTTTTAGGCACATAATAAAAACTTTTGGTTAATGAGGTTGACTGGTGACTAATAAATAGAAAAATTAAGGTTTTAGTGATCAACAAGGTTATTCCCTATTCATGCTGGATATTTACCCACTCTACTTTGGTGGAGTTAATAATTTCTCGAAAGCTGAACAGTCTGTAATTTCCGGCTGGGATTATTAAAGTATGTCTGATTCTGAGTTCCCCTCCATATCCATTATTCTATCTTATTAGTTCAACGCCCCACTCACACCGGCAGGCAAACAGACCCACACTATGACGATCCCACCACTTTTCTTGGCCGTTGTTGGTAGCCCTAATGCTCTTTTTTCTAACCACACCTTGTTTCCTTCAAAAACACTTGTGTGTCAGTGTTTTTCCATGTTTTCAGTGTACACTATGCGAAAAAATTAAAGAACATTTTGTAATCAGAGTATAGCATCAAGTTAATTAAACTTCTGGAATATTTATTTGGTCAGGTAGGTAGCAGAGAGGGTTGTGATTTAGTTTCAGCTGCTTTGGTGTTAATGAAATTAACAACAGGTGCACTAGAGGGGCAACAACGAGACGACCATGAAAACAGGAATGGCTTTACAGGTGGAGGCCACTGACATTTTTTCCCCCTCCTCATCTTTTCTGACTCTTTCTCACCAATTTTGCATTTGGCTAGGGTCACTGTCACTACTGTTCGCATGAGGCGCTACCTGAACCCTACAGAGGTTGCACAGGCAGTCCAACTCCTCCAGGATGGCACATCAATACGTGCCATTGCCAGAAGGTTTGCTGTGTCTCCCAGCACAATCTCAAGAGCATTGAGGAGATTCCAGGAGACAGGCAGTTACTCCAGGAGAGCTGGACAGGGCCGTAGAAGGTCTACTACCCATCAGCAGGACCGGTATCTGCTCCTTTGTGCAAGGAGGAGCAGGAGGAGCACTGCCAGGGCCCTACTGGTGTGAATGTCTCTCACCAAACAATCAGAAACCGACTTGACAAGGGTGGCCTAAGGGCCTGACATCCTCTATTGGTCCCTGTGCTCACAGGCCGACACCTTGGAGCTCGATTGGCATTTGCCACAGAACACAAGAATTGGCGCATAATTTTTTCACTGTAATTTTTTCTTTGAATTCAGCCCTCTGTAGGTCAATGATTTTCATTTCCATGAAATGATGTGGCATCCTTTTGTTCCTAACACATCACCCAGTCCATATCAGTATAAATAAACAGCATGATTTTTTCCCCCATTGAGATCTGATGTGTTTTCAAAGTGTTCCTTTAATTTCTTTGAGAAGTGTAGAACCCTAAGCTTGTTTGTTTACCTTCCAGCCATGATCATCCTCAGCATTCAGAGTTTCCATTGCAGTTGTCTTTGAGGTTTAGTTTTACACAACAACGTGGAGAATCTGGAATGCTCATTTTGTTTAACCACTTCTCTGGTGGTTTTAACACAGCAGGGTTCCTGTAATCTATTTCACTGACCGGACAAGTAGTCTATCATCATTAACTCTTGATGTCGTTTCACAAAGATATTTTAATGGAAAAAAGAACAAAGGTGCACGGAGTTAACACTCTGGTAAAATGCCTCAGGACGTTTTAAAAAACTCTGCCCATTATTACACAGACAGTCCTGTTTAGGAGAGAAAAAAAATCTTTGACAGATGTGTCCTTCTACTTACGAATCGGCTGGTTTGAACTGTGTTTACAAAAGTTAGTGTTGTATTAATATATACTACTGTTTCAGCTATGAGCTAATTTCCACCTGCAGGGTCAAAGTAGAGCAATATGCAGATATATGCATGATACAAGATAGTGTAGTTTGAAATTTATAATTTTAACAGTGCTATGAATATTTTGTCATTGATTATTCTTGTGAAGATTCTCAGTCATCCAGGTCATACTCATTCCAAAAATGTTAAAAAATTGAAAAAGCTTCCTGGATGGGAAGTGAAACATCAACAAACTTGGAAAGCAAAGTTCAGTGTTTTTTTTTTTTTTTACTTTTTCATAATTGATTATGCATTTTTTTTTTTTTCCTTCTCTGCAGGCTCATTGGTGGGCTATCCTGATCGCTATACTGGTACTGTCTGGAGTAATGGGCTGCACAGTCTGCCTATGTGGCAGGACCTTGAACACTCGGGACCTGGACTGACCCTTCATATATATGATGTTGATTACAAAAAAAAATTATTAATCTCTTTTGCAGACAATAGGAATTTAATGTATCTGAACAATGCTAAAGTGATGCATTTAGAAAGCCTTGTGCTGTCTTGCAATCTGAGATCTTGAAATGACCTCTGTGGGTGCTAAACACCTGCTCAGCTCTCCTCATGCTAGCTTGTCACCTGATATCTTTGTATGATTTATTTTTATCTGCTTTTAGCAATCCTTAGGGAGCTGGTTCGCAGTAAAGGTTCCTCGATACTTGTGCTGTGGAAAATGTTTCCAGCCACCATGCAGACCCTGTGTAGATTTCTTTAAAGGGTATTGCAAGCTGTATTTTAGGTTGGCCATCTAATTGCACCTGTTACTGCAAATGCTGAAGTTAAGTAAGTGGATTTGTGCATTGGATATTGTCCATCTTTCCATCTTAGTTTAAATTAGTGAGCATATGGAAAGGATGTCTGGAGTCAGGGCTTAATTATGTAAAAGGTGAACATCTGACAGCAGTTCAGAACAGACTTGCAAAATGATTCAGACTCTTTGAACTTTTTTCACATCACATTAGGATTTTATTCTATGGAAAAAACACAGTAGCCCAATATTAGCCTGTTACCTAGCTGCTAAAGTTTGTGTAATTTAATTTTTTTATTTCTTTTTTATAAACACAGCTGTCCAGTCAAGACTTAAATATCCATCACAGAGTGAACAATAGCAATCTGGGTAAAAGTTTGTTAAAAGATGAGTTAATTTTTACTATCCAACAATACAATGACCAAATATGTGTGTAGGAGCAGCCTAGTCAAAGTCCAGACAAATCTTAAAGGTATAGTGGAGGATGTTCTTTTTCCATGTGGATCATCTAAATAAGTGGTCCTCCTAATTGTCATTTTTGGGATATGTTTACTTAAGGCTGTCCTATGTGCTAATCCCCATTTTCACTTACCGGTGTTGAGTCTGACATAGTGGAAAAATTGCAAATCTTCTTTTGGAAAGTAAGCTTGTATGAGCGATGTAAACTGCAGCTTTTAAACAAAGTGTGCATGAGGAGAATGGGCTCATGCATGCTCCCGCAGCGTTCAATAGGCATTCCCTCTCAGAAGCGGGTATATGGTTGTGCATGTGCAATTTTTTCAAAGTAAAGAGGGCGGGTCTTTTCAGAAATTCGTGAAAATCTTCAAATATACTTTTAATCTAATCAGTGGCAAAAAATATAATTTGTTTCAGTGCACTGACTTCAAATGCACCTTTTAATTTTTGATAATCAGAATTGTCTTTTTTTTCTCCTCCAATTTACGCTGATGCACCATTTTTTTGTTTTATGCTGAACTGTACATGTTTTTGGCCATTAAAAAAGGCAAACAGCTGTGAACTCCAGCTGTGCAGCTAACTCGCATGTCTGGATTCGAACACGCTCTGTGTCACCTTGACACAGTCAGAGAAAAAACTGCGTCACAACAGCAGGAACATGAAGAAATAACGCATGTCATTAAGACATGTAAGCTAAGACCTTGTTGATTTTTTTTTATCACAACTGTGTGAGAGTTTGACATGTTCCTTTGGATCAAAAACAGATTTTGTTTTTGGGGTAATAAAGTAAAACTGGGCGACAGTGGAAAGAGTAATGTTCAAATAAAGTAGTCTTACATTTAGAAAACACAGTTTATTGAATAATGTATATTTAGTACAGTGCTTGACGTCACAAATTACAAAAAAAAATTATACATTGAACCAAAGAGTTTACCTTTAATATTGTTTTCAGTCAAAATATGCATTTTATTTCATAGTTGTATTTACATTGATTCACAGTAAAAAAAAAAAATACTGTTCTTTTTGTGCATTAGTATCACTTTTCCACTTTTTACAGTAACAAGGATAGTAGTGCCAATCCCTATAGAGCTAACGGTCACATTTCAATTAAAAATAATTAAAAAGGAGGATAATGACCATAAAACTTAAAGGAAATATTTATGTTAGCTAAACGCTGCACCTAACAGCTGAATTCATAAGTTTAATGCAGCGATAAATTACCTTCATATGTCTTTGAGTCATAATTTATATAATGAATTTAGATCAATATAACAGCAGCACAAATAATGTAAAAGTAATGCAAAATTAGAGCTTTGTTTGCTTCATAAAAGTCAGAAAATCAAAATGACAGAATTGAAAGTCACTAAGGTGAAGAACAGAGAAAGGCTCACTGATACTTGTGCCAAAGTCATGAACTGCACTGAGATCCACAGTGGTGAGTGTTTAGTTTTACTGGGTATACAAAAACAGCAAGATCAAATCTGACCAAGTCGGAAGCTAATCAATGGTGCATTTTAATGTAAAAATTCATTTATGAGTACCTTCACTGTCAGGCATTCTTCAACGTAGTTGTAGACAAAAAATAAAAAAAAAGGAGCCTCTCACTTTTTTGAAATATGTTATGGTTTCATCCTCTGTTTATCCAAACATTTAACAAATGTGACTTCCCCAGAAGAATTGTGGGAATCAGGGTCTGTCAAACAGAAAATGATCCTGCAAAAAAGAAACATGTGAGACGGTCATTGGCCCCTTCATTAACAGGCTCCAAACTAGTCTGAATGCTTACGCCAGATTTGTAACAGTTATTTCTACAGAGCAAATCCATTTTTATTTGGAAGCAGACATTTCTGCCGTTCATGGAACAAATAACCAGTTTTAACTTCATTTATAAGTTAAACCAACTAGAATACTTTTCTTTGAAAGCAGATATTTACATACTATTAATGCAGAAACTGTTCAGACCTGATTAAACAAGTGGAAAAAAATGGTAGACAAGTATTTATGATGCAATATTAGGGAAGCCGAGAGCAGTCGTGTCCCTCAGATACTTTTTCACTGTGGTTTTCTTGAGAAAACAAGTTAATTTTCTCATTATCTTAAGATAACAAAAGCCGTTTTCTCGTCATAACGAGATGATTGGTGTATGTTAAAACTGATTATATCCTTCAATACCACAACAGCGGGAGAGGATTTATAAGTATGAGTCATGGAGGCCAATGTGAAATTCTTTAAATAATCCTGTGTTTAACTTTTAGGTATAGAGACGACGTTGTTGGTTTTATGATTTGCTTCCACTTCTGATTCATAAAAAATTAGACCTATGCCTCCTGCCCCTTAGCGCCTGGTTTTACACTTGTAACGGGTATAAGATGCATTAACCCCAAAAATGAGTCCAGATTAAAGTTTTTCATTAAAAAGGCAGAGTTGTTTCTACTGTAATCCAATTATCAACCATGACCTGACAATCAGAAGAAGGGAGTGGGAGATCGACAGGCGGATTGGCGCAGCGTCTGCCATGAAGCGGGCGCTGTACCGGTTCCGTCATGGTGAAGAGAGAGCTTAGTCAAAAGGCAAAGCTCCTCTCTCGAGAGGAGCCAGTTGAGGTGGCTCGGGCATCTGATTAGGAGGCCTCCTGGACGCCTCCCTGGTGAGGTGTTCAGGGCACGTCCCACCGGGGGGAGGCCGCGGGGAAGGCCTAGGACAAGCTGGAGAGACTATGTTTCTCGGCTGGCCTGGGAACGCCTTGGGGTTCCTACTGAGGGGCTAGAAGAAGTGGCTGGGGAGAGGGAAGTCTGGGCCTCCCTTCTTAAGCTGCTGCCCCTGCGACCCGACCCCGGATAAGCGGAGGAAGATGGATGGATGGATGGATGGATGGATGGATGGATGGATGGATGGATGGATGACCTGACAATCATTGAAAAGAAATAGGAAACTTAAAATCTTAATATTTGCGCACAAGCGGTACCCCCGACTACACACTATGATTACCGTAGGCATGGATGGACTGGAAATCCAGGGCTGTTGGCCAGCCTGGTTCATTACTCATACAGGTTAATTATCTTGTTATCTCAAGAAATCAATTACTGTTTTCTCATGATAATGAGATCATTATCTTATTATCTCGAGAAAACAATTAATGGTTTAACCGTGATAACGAGATAGTTATGTCATTATCTTAAGAAAGCAAAGGGAAAAAAAAAAGTCGAGTACGACCGCTCTCGGCTTCCGTAGGGAAAATGTATCTTATTAATTTAAAGCTACAGTGTGTAATTTTCAGCGACATCTAACGTCCAGACTGCAGACCGCAGCAACATGAACATCTCCCCCCCACCGCTTCTCCCCCCCAACAGTACGGCGAGCGTTACGGGACAAAATGTCTTCCACGATGTCCGCATCACCTACCTTCTCAAGTGATGAGGTTTGTTTACATAGATAATTTTACAGATAGTATTTCATTAGTCTTTGTAGGGTATAGATTTCAGTTCATCTCTCTCAACTTGCCGTAGTTACTTTCGAGCGTAATGGGCGATCTTGCAATCGCTATTTTGTTGGCTCTGTGCTGTCGTAGCGCAAACATGTCTGCCTCCATTGCTGCGAGACCCGCTCCTATGTAATTATAAATAACGAATTCTAAGGCAATGCAAATATTAAGGTTAAGAGGCTGAGCTGGTAGATGATGATAAATAACATAGTTATGTATAATATATTACATTTCTGACTGTATATCCCTGTAATTATTACACACTGTAGCTTTAACATTTTTATCTTTACTGCAGTGAAACAAACATAGATGCAAAGCATGAAGAAAAGTAAACTCAATACTGTTTTTGAGACAAACTTAATATAAGCGTTCTAATAGCCTTTTAGTGAAATTATTTTATCAAAAACATAATTATTGTGCACTAATAAGGATTACCATACATGTAATCAGAGTTTTATGGGGCCCCCAGGAACTTGGGGCCCTAGGCAACTGCCTAGTATTCCCTAATGGTAAATGCCACTAATACAATGAAGAACTACATCATTATCTATGCAATATTGCAGGTGACAGACAGGCAAGCTTTAGTTTCATTAACAGTTTCCCTTAACTTACTTATTTTGCGTCTCACCAGATCTGATACGAATTTTGTCAACCGGAACACTATCTGAGTCACTTGACCATCAAGAGGAAACCATCTTCAACAGGCTGGAGACAGACCAGCTGTTTGTCTCCATCCACTTAAACTTCAACAGCAGCGGGTCACCGATATCCATTTCAGCCATCAGAAGGAATGATTGTGTCATGTTTGATTCAGGTCTTTCCCTCCTGAATAGAAAAAAAAATGCTAGTGCTAATAAAAAAAATTCTTGTCAAAGGATGGTGAAATAAGAATTATAAAACATACACTTGGACAATAAAAGTAAAACTGGTTAATGTGTGTAGGATTATAACACTGTTTATTGTTTCTGTCTGAAGCTACTACTTGGAGTTAAAAACTGCACATGACTCCCATAAATGCAAACATGGTGTTATAAATCCTTTAGAATAAGCATGTAAAATGCTGACTCACAGCTTAAGCTCAAGGTTTTCAGCCTCTCCTCTTGTTCCATACAGAGAGATGGTGAGAGAAGGCTCCATCTCTGACCATTTCACTTTACCTGAGAAGTGGATCTTTACCTGGTAGAGGTAAACTGGGAGGACAAGAGAGAGAATGTGATATTTTACTGAACTGAAAACATGCACCACTTTCAGATTAAATAAAGCCTCAAGTAATTGGAGTTTTGCAACTCAAATCTCAAATAACTAATCTCTTCTCCAAACAAATATGACTTGGTTTAGAGGATTAGCCCTACTGCAGCTCTCTTGTTGACCAGTTTTACACATGAAGGTTTTCTGACCTCTGAATGGCTTGGAGGCCCGTGTCTTGGTGTACATCTGAATGCTGCGAAGCTTGCGGACTTTGCTTGCGTCGTAGCCCAGCTTGTTGCAGCGGCCTTTGCGGCAGCTCAGACACATGCCGCGGTCAAACATGTCATTGCTGCCGCACTGGTAGGCCTTGGCTGGTTCCTGCACATTAAGCAGGGAGTCGATGAACAGATGGATGGAGCGCTCATGTTCACACTTCACTGCATCATTTATAGCTAAGGAGAAAAGATGAATGAAGAAATGCAGCTTAAAGGAGAGATTAAATGGGTCAGTTTGCTCCCACATAATTGTGTCTGGCCTTTTCTTAGCTATGTTTTGGCCCAGTGTTTATTTTGATGCATGTGTGAAATATGTTATGGTTCAACTGACCAAAAAAACGTTAATTCACAAAAATTATAAAGTTATAAAAAGCGCTAATGATCGATAGGACTGCCATCAGGATTGGTCAATATGGCAAAAAATTAAATCATGGTATGTTTCTTAATTTTAGTCATTAAAACTTTGTTAAAACTAAGTTAAATCTTTGATAGCGATCAAAACAAAATAAAACCCTCATCCAACATAATACTTTTGAAATATTTGCTTTAAAACTAAACTACTAAATTACAGTGCGGCCTTCACATTTATACCATGTTTAACGACCTTAACACTCTGACATGATAATCAAATATATTGCCTCTTTCACAAGCATTCATCGCAATTCAACTTGTTCACATTTTGTCAAGTTACATCCACATACTTCTTTTTGTAATTTACATGATAGACAGACACATAATAGAGCTGGATTGTGTAGTCAAGTAGGGCTGAAACAATTAATCGATTATTGAAATAATCGTCAACTAATTTAGTAATCGATTAATCCTTAACTGGAGTATAGAGACTGTAAAATTTACCTTTAGCTGACAGAGCAACCCACTTAGAGCAATATATATCAAAGTTATAAAAATAATATATAAACATTTTGCATTTAAGATTAAAAAAAAGTGTCTTTCAATATGCTCTGTCCAGAACTCCTTAAGTGGAAACGTATTAGTTTCCCCTGGTTTAATTTTGATAAAAGGAACCTTTGACAAAATTGTTAATCGATCAATCAAAATCAAAAATCGATCAATCAAAAAAATAATCAACATATCAATCAAATTGCAAAATAATCGTTAGTTGCAGGCCTATAGAGAAGGAAAACAAACAAACAAAAAAATACATTTTTAAAACTGCACCGCTCCACTCAATGTGACCTTTTCCTACTTTTGTGCTTTCACTGACTCAGTAAGTCAATGGACATCAGTTGTGAGCCATCCAGCATTGCTATAATATGCATAAAAATCAGCCATACTTGTCATTCTTTCTACTACCTCAGTGAACACCTAATTTCTTGTCGCCCATTGAGCTGCAGCTGAACATTGCAGTCTCATTTGATGCTTAGAATAGTCTATATCTCATCGTTGCACCAAGGTTTAAGCTTTCTGGTTACATTTACCAGGATTTCCTATAGTTTAGCATGTTTGGGAAATGCTAGTTTTTCTGCTAATGGACACTTCTGGCTCAACCAATCCATACCCATCCAGTGAACAGCAGTCTGTTTGCATTACGCTTCAGCTCCAACAAAACCTGCTGCTGAGTGGTTACTAAGAAAGCCAGTACCATGTCAAAAGTGGAGTGGAATTGGCCAAAGAAGAACCTTTGATGAAGAGAAAATAACAGCATAGGACAGGGGTGTCAAAGTGGTTCCAGATAAGGCCATGTGGCTGCGGGTTTTCTTTCCAACCAAACAATAGTGCATCAGACTCCATTCATCTCATCAAGTGTGTGCAGATTGGACTCATTTGGTTAGATGACTAGAGTCTGGTTTGCTATTGCTTAGTTGGAAAGAAAACATGCAGCCACACTGCCCTTTCTGGAACCAGTTTAACACCCCTGGCCTAGGACATAAAAAATTTTACTTTTGTCTATCCATTGCAAATTGCTCTTTGAATTTCAAGTCCAAAGTTCCTCTATTGGACTTTACTCTGGACTTTGTCTGTATTCTATTGGTTGAGGTCCTAATGAAAGGTGAACCACCACCACTAATGGCAAGTTATCCTTCAAGCATTGCCCTACATTTAGCTCTAATCATTTCCCTAAAACTCTGACAGTTTGTCCATGTAGCAGAAAAGAGACATCCATCCAGCTCCCCACCCCAACCCACTTAACCCCTTCAGTATGATATTTCCACCACCATATTTTACCATGGTATTATAATGATATCAAGCAGTGTTAACTTATATTTCTGCACATCATCCAATGCATCTTATTATCATCTATCCATCTTATTCTACATACACTCATTTGTTATCTGTCTGACTAATAAACTACATGAAACATTTGGGTTTATAATGCCTGCAATATTTGTTTGTCAGCACCTCTCTCTTTATACATTGTCTCTATGTTTTTGCTTTATTTTCTTTCTGTCTTTCTTTGTGTCTGAATGTTGGTGGATAGATTGTTCACTAATGTTCTCTAACATACCAATGAGGTGCTCACAGAACAGCTGCAAATATATTTTGACTAAAGTGAATCTATTTGTTCTCTCTTTAATGAACACAGTGAGCAGGGTTTCAAAATTAAGAAACAAAATAGATACGCAAGCAGCACCTTTTAAATATTTAAATGTAAAACAAGCTTAAAATAATCTTGAGGCTTCATAATTATTCACTGTGTTGTGTCATTCTTTCTATTAGAATTCATATATGAGCTATTTCATTATTTCATGACAGAGTGAATAAAAGTCCGAGGGGTATAAAAATATTTGTTAGGGATGATTAAATCAAACACTAATATATTAAGTAGCTTTATAAAAAGCGGGTAGATGTACCATTTTTTTGATGATATGTGCACCAAAAACTTATTAAGTACATGAGTCTTTCAGGGAAAAAAAGGTTTTTTAAAATATAAATATATGAACAGCATAAAATAAAATATCAGACAGTAAATTAGTGTTAACAGAATCGTTACCCAATATCCCAAAGTTAGCGATATTCTCCAAGGCGTCTCTCAGGTTACAACCTGGCTGGAAGCTCCCTCCGTTGGGGTAAATATCAACATGGCCGACAGGCTGCTGCATCCCAATGCCGAGACCCAGGGAATCCCGACTGAAGGTGTGGAGGACGTCAACAAAGTTGGCGTCATCTGGAGAAAGCCGCCTGTTGGCATGTTCACCCTCGAAGTCAGGTCCAGCTGGTTCAAGACCTGCATGTAAAGAAAATAAGCCAAACAATGATAATGGGATCAGCTAAAGAAAAGAAAATAGCATTTGGTAAAAAAAAAAATAAAAAATTTTCATTCAGTTCTTTACCAGTGATTCGTCCGACTTTATTGCAAGCATGGCTGCCTGCAAATCCTGCTACATGAGCTCCAAGGCTGTAGCCAATCAGGTGAAGCTTGTCAAGAGGCATGTTGGTGCTTTCCTTTTAAAAATATATGTAATAATGATAAAGAAAGTTATTTTATGTGAGACAAATACTGCCTTATTGTGTAAAAGAGAATTCACTATAGAGCACCAAACATTAAATGTGTTTCTTCTAATTAATTTAACTTATAGAGTGTTGCTTTTTTATACCCTTTTGTCATGCTTACATTTTTTTAGATCAGGCTGTTAAATAAATTTTTATATATCAGGCCAGTTTACATTCATCAAATCTTTTAAAGGGCCAGCTATAGTGGTATAAATCACCCTTTTGATTTTAACATTCTATTTACAAAGATATCACTGCTCTAGCATTTATGGCTGTTACTTTACTATCATTTATTTAGCCTTTTTTAGCCACCTTGTGTCAATGTCTTGTTTCTAATGTGCTTTACTTTTGTTTTCCTAGTTTTATTGGTTTAATTCCTCTTTTGTTGTAATTTCTAGATTTATGTTAGTTCTCATGTTTTTCTGTTGCCCTCTTGTGTGTGTGTGTTCCTTTCCCCTTGGCTCCCTCGTTGTCTCCTCTCACACCTGCACCTTGTCAGCTCGTTAGCCCTGCCTTCGTCTCAGTCAGCTATACAGGTGCTGGTCATAAAATTAGAATATCATGAAAAAGTAGATTGATTTCAGTAATTCCATTTAAAAAGTGAAACTTGTATATTATATTCATACATTAAATCCAAACTCATATATTTCAGATGTTTATTTTGTTTAATTTTGATGATTACAAATGACAACAAATGAAAATCTCAAATTCATCATATCAGAAAATTAGAATATTACTGAAGACCAATAAAAACAAAGGATTTATAGAAATGTTGGCCAACTGAAAAGTATGAACATGAAAAGTATGAGCATGTACAGCACTCAGTATTTAGTTGGGCCTCCTTTGGCCTGTATTACTGCAGCAATGCGGCGTGGCATGGAGTCGATCAGTCTGTGGCACTGCTCAGGTGTTATGATAGCCCAGGTTGCTCTAATAGTGGCTTTTAGCTCTTCTGAATTGTTGGGTCTGGTGTATTGCATCTTCTTCTTCACAATACCCCATAGATTTTTTATGGGGTTAAGGTCAGGAGAGTTTGCTGGCCAATTAAGAACAGGGATACCATGGTCCTTCAACCAGGTACTGGTAGCTTTGGCACTGTGTGCAGGTGCCAAGTCCTGTTGGAAAATGAAATCTGCATCTCCAAAAAGTTGGTCAGCTGCAGGAAGCATGAAGTGCTCTAAAACTTCCTGGTATGTGGCTGCGTTGACCCTGGACCTCAGAAAACACAATGGACCAACACCAGCAGATGACATGGCACCCCAAACCATCACTGACTGTGGAAACTTTACACTGGACTTCAAGCAACGTGGATGAAGTGCCTCTCTTCTTTTCCTCCAGACTCTGGGACCTTGATTTCCAAAGGAAATGCAAAATTTACTTTCATCAGAGAACATGACTTTGGACCACTCACCAGCAGTCCAGTCCTGTTTCTCTTTAGCCCAGGCAAGACGCTTCTGACGCTGTCTGTGGTTCAAGAGTGGCTTGACACAAGGAATGCGACAGCAGAAACCCATGTCTTTCATACGTCTGTGTGTGGTGGTTCTTGAAGCACTCACTCCAGCTGCAGTCCACTCTTTGTGAATCTCCCCCACATTTTTGAATGGGTTTTGTTTCACAATCCTCTCCAGGGTGCGGTTATCTCTCTTGCTTGTACACTTTTTTCGACCACATCTTTTCCTTCCCTTCGCCTCTCTATTAATGTGCTTGGACACTGAGCTCTGTGAACAGCCAGCCTCTTTAGCGATGACCTTTTGTGTCTTGCCCTCCTTGTGCAAGGTGTCGATGGTCGTCTTTTGGACAACTGTCAAGTCAGCAGTCTTCCCCATGATTGTGTAGCCTATAGAACTAGACTGAAAGACCATTTAAAGGCTTTTGCAGGTGGTTTGAGTTAATTAGCTGATTAGAGTGTGGCACCAGGGGCCATCAATTTTGAACCTTTTCACAATATTCTAATTTTCTGATATGATGAATTTGAGATTTTCATTTGTTGTCATTTGTAATCATCAAAATTAAACAAAATAAACATCTGAAATATATGAGTTTGTATGTAATGTATGAATATAATATACAAGTTTCACTTTTTAAATGGAATTACTGAAATCAATCTACTTTTTCATGATATTCTAATTTTATGACCAGCACCTGTATATACTCTCCCTCTGCTCTCACTCTTTGTTGTTTCCTTGTCTTTGCTGTCCTCCCATGCTGTTGTCCACCTACCTCGTCTCTCCCTGGCACCTCGTGTTTGGTTTCCCCGAGATGTCTCCATAGTTCTGGTTTGCTTTTCATTATTAGTTGAATTTTTGCATTCCTGCCTTTGTTTACTGTTTTGCCCCAATAAACTGCAAGAAATCTCGTCAGCCTCTCTGCCTCTGCATTTTGGGTCCTCAAACCACAACGAAACCCTGACACCTTGTACATTTTAACAGAGGAAATGTCTTTACTTTATGATATGACAAGCATATTTTGGTTCTTGAGGGTAATAAAATTGTTCTGATATGCCAGATTCGGCCTGCAGGCCTTGAGTTTGATGCAAGTTTTGGATCATCAATAACATTTTACTAAAGGGTTTTTTTGTTTACAAAAATTTTTGTTTTTTTTTCCACACAGACAAGACCCTAAAGGTATAAAGGTAAGCTCTACTAGCAGACCAACACATTGTACTTCAGCCTAAGTGAATCAGTAAAACATGTATCCGTCTGGAAAGGTTTTAAATACTATTTCTAAAGCTTGGGACTCAGGAAAATCACAGTTAAAGCCATCATCTGCAAGAGAGTGGATGCACATCAGAAGAGGGAGGAGTACATTAATGACTCATCTAGGAGGTTGCAGAAGATTTTAAAGCAATTATCTAAAGCACTGCAGGCCTCACTGCTTCAGTGAAGGTCAGGGTTTACGATTGAACAATAAAAATGAAAATTAGCAAAAAGAAATTTATCTATGAAAGAGGCTAAAACTACTGCTGATCAACAAGGACTTAAAGGCCTGTTATGAGTCCAAAGACTTCTGGAAAAATATTGTGAGAACTAAAGTGACAAAAGATAAATGTTTTATATATATGCTGATTCTGTCTGACAAAAGACTAAAACATTTTCTAACAACATACAGTTAAAGTGGGATGGTCTGGAGCCATTTTGCTGATCGTGAACTTGGGCAACTTGCTGTAATGATGGAAAGAAGAATTCTGCTCTCTACCAGAATATGGTTATCAAAATGTTTACTTTATGCATGAGCTCATGTGGGTTATACAGGAGCTTAATGGAAGGAAAAACACCAGCAAATCCAACTCTGGGTAGAGAAAAAAATAAACTGGAGGTTTCCAAGTGGCCTACTGAAAGTTCAGACTAAAATCTGATTAAATTTTTTTTTATATTTTCCAAATTAGGGACTGCTTATATTTAAAAATGCAAAATATGGAAAAAAGCAAAGAGTGCTCCAAAACTCTTCAACATTGGTATAAAAGGTAAATCACCAGATTTATAAATTAGATTTACAGGGAACTGACTCATTAACATAATAATCAGGCTGGTATGGATGGCTCTGTTTTAATTTATTAAGTCAAACCATTTATAGATTTGGTGAACCATCATCTGATTTAAAAAAAATGCTCATTTTAAAATTTCCCCCTAAAATAAAACAAAAACAGAAGAGCCCGTTTAACAATAAACACTTTTAAATTCATGATTTACGAAGTAGATCTCATTAAAAATGACTGAGAGGACCACTCACTTCCATCCAGTCAATGAAGCGTGCAATCTCTTTTCCCACTGCTTTGGTTTTCTCAGCTGCAACAGCATAATGGTTCTGAGCCGAGCTGAGCCAGTCAACCACAACAACGTTAGCCATCGGCTCTCTCTGGTACAGTGCCGACACCAACTTTGGCATCCAGCTTTCAAACATACCGCTCAGCTGTTGGCAAGACACTAAAAACTTTAAAGACCGAAACAGGTTATTAAGCCACGGAAACTTTGAAATAACATCTAACTGGGGTTTTAAAGGTCCCTGTACTCACCGTCCATCCGTGGATCACCAGGAAGGTCTTGGATGTGCTGCTGTAGTTACATGCAGACACGGTTTCTGGCTGGCCAGGAATAATATAGCAGAGGTCATCACCGGGATGGGATGGATTACGAAGGGAGAATTTTGCTAAAGGTGCATGATGGTCATCCTTTCCATCAATTAAATCTTTCAGAGGGTCAAATAAGTTGCCTGGATGAAAAGAATTCCTCTTTAACAAATATCAGAAGAAACAGTAAAAGAAGATGCCTAACTAAATAACTACAGAAGAACCATGCAGAGTTCCTCTGTAAAAAAAAAAAAAAAAAAAGCTTTATGATTAAATAAGAATAGAGCTAAAAGGTTTACTTGGCCAGAGCAGACTTTTACATACTCGACTGATGCTTTTTTTTTCTTTTTTTTTTACCTTTGTTCCTACAGACTGAGACTTTAATTACGGTACTCTGGTCCCATTGATCCTTCCATACCACTGATCCTTAACCAGCTGAGCCCATTTTGGGATGATTTTCAAAGTAAGGAACTCAGCAACTGGCAAGGACCACAGGAAAAGTCTGGACTTAAATCTTCTCATTACAAAATATTGCAAAAGAATTTTATTTTTAGTTTTTTCCCAATTTATCAGCAATCAGCCAGCGAGTTCTTCTTTGCATTTTAACTGGATTTTATTAGATAGACCAGCAAACTGCAGCGGATAATTGTGAAGTGGGATGAATTTATACAATTATACATGGTATTCCATTTAGGTATCTGATAAATGTGTCATGTACTTGTTTTTATAGTTGTGAAGGCAAAACTTAAAAGAACTAACATTTGCTGCCATTACAGCAGCTAATGTTGTGACCATTACGTCACCCAATTTGCACATATGAAAACCTAAATTGTTGTCCTTATTTCACCCAACAGCTTAAGCTCATTAACATTGGATGTTAATGAGCTTAAGCTTAAAAAAATAATTGTTCCACTCTAGACCTGGTCCCCTTCTTTCAGTTTTTTTTTTTTTTAGTTTAGATCTAAAACATCTGCTCTGCCTCTATGTTTGATGTTCTGGTCTGAAAGATATACGTCAAACCCAGTCTCAAGTCTTTTGCGGTTTCCAAAATTTATTTTGAGGCTTTTTTTTTTTTCCAGGACTGTCGTGCAATTAACACCCTCCATAATCGACTCTAAATCTTCCGGTTCCTGACCCTGTTCCTGGCATTGCCACAGCATGATGTTTCCACCACTGTGTTTAACAGAGGTGTGCAGAGAGTGAATTGAACAACAGATAGCTTCAACAACAGAAGTCATGATTTAGGCTCATCTTATAAATGCGACGTAATACAAAAAATATTATTTTACCTATTTCAATTCATTCCTCAAGGATTTTTTTGAGGGGTATCAGAATAATGAGGGGGGGGGGTGCACACATGACTAATATTGAATATTAGCTGAAAAGGAGTATCACTTTCCAATGATGTACTATTTAGTGTTAAAACAATATATTTTGTATCTCAGTGTAAATGCACACTCCATTATTTTCCACTCATAAATGTCCCTATATCTATATCTCTAATAATAAGTTGAGTAGCCTAGTCATAAATGAATAAAAAGATTAGTTTGGGCATCAACAGGTGTTTTCATTCAAATTTGGCCACAATCATGGGCAATTCTAGACAGGGGCCAACAGGGGCCAGGGCCCCTGTAGATCACGTCCTGGCCCCTATTAGGGCCCATGAAGACATAATACTCAAATAAATTCTAATGATGATATGCGCTGGAACAGACAGGGTTACTGATAGGTCCTTTGGATCTATTTCATTTTTTTTCCTTTAAAAATTCTGCTTTACTAATTATTTAAATGGTAAATGGCATGTACTTATATAGCGCCTTTATTCAAGTTAGGAGACTTGACCAAAGCGCTTTACACTACATTCATTAACCCATTCACGCACACACTCACACACTGATGGTGGCAAGCTACATTGTAGCCACAGCTTCCCTGGGGCTCACTGACAGAAGCGAGGCTGCCGTACACTGGCGCCACCGGGCCCTCTGACCACCATCAGTAGACAATGCAGGTGAAGTGTCTTGCCCAAGGACACAACGACAATGAAATTCGGAGTTGGGGCTTGAACCGTCAACCCTTCGATTTCAGGGGAAACTCCTACATCCAACGCCACTGTCGCCCTATCACAATAAGGTGATAGCTTAGGATCCCAGTTTTCATCTGCTAAATGTTTTTTTTCAAAACAAATTTAAAAAAACTTGTTCTAATTCAGATTTTATAGAAAACGGTACTTTTAACTTAAATTAAGTCAAAAATATGTAAAATTCGTAAATTATGAATGTATATTGACCTAATAAGGCATAGAATTTTAATCAAACCTAATTAAATAAAAATTTCACTTCATGCTATCTTATAATATATTTGAATCCCTTGCCCTGTTTTTTTATTTCATGCTTTTCTGTGCCCCCATGAAAACAGGCTTCCCCCCCTCCTGCCCCCCCTGGTACATTTGGTCTAGAACCGCCACTGGACAAAATTACAAAAATCATTAAGGCGTTAATTATCATCTGAACTTTTTAATTTTTTTATTTATTTATTTTTTGCTTGCTTTAGTGATAGGAAGACTTATCAATATAAATGTGGGCTCACCAAATGCAGAATCGGTGAGATCTTCTTCCAGGGAAGTTATTTTTTGCGCATCTACATTCACCAACAGGAAGCACAGAGACCAAAGCTGCCAGGCTCTCATCTCTTCCAGCCGCGCTGTTTTTAGCGAAACCCTCTAATCAATTTCAATCTCGCGCCCCAGAGGACAGTATGGATATAAGGATCCTTCCTGCTGAGCGCTCAGCGCTGTTATCTGAACCACCTTCAACTGGATGCGTCTTAAATAGCGGATGGAAACTTCTGCATCGCCATTGGCTGCGCACCTCCGGGCGGGAGCTAAATGATTAGACTGCTTTATGGGAGAAGTTCCAACACAGAGTGTGGAGGAGGATAGACTTTTATTTACAAAAATAACAAAAAATAAAATCAATAAATCATCAACTAGGAAGGGTTTTAGATAAGTGTGAGACATTTCATGTTTAAAGACTGGGACCAGGTAAATAAGCATATTACTCATCCATACCTGTTAACGATAACTCTTACAGGATTCATTAATAGAAAAGATTATTATTTTTAGTATACCTTTAAAATGTTTAAAGGATATGTTTTATATGTTATCTTTAGTTTAGTTTGACCCTTTCAGGTAATTCAAGTACAACTTATGCAGAATGAACTTAAAAAATGTAGAGGGACGTTTTTGTGCATCTATTTCATTTCATTTATCAGCCTATTTAATAGGGACAGTGCATATTAATGAACCTCTACACTGTAGATATGCCAGACTGTAGCATGAGTGCTCATTTAAATCTGCAGTCCTGCAGGTGACCAAGAAAAACACAATAGACAGAAAGGCTAAGCATTATATATATGTATGTATACATGAACATAGGCACAAAAGAAACTTGCATTACATAGTCGCCTGCATGCATGTACGCACACACTAAAGCAAATACTAAATTAACAATAAAGACATATCAAATGCCATCGTGAGGACAGTCTACTGATAGCCACAGGTTTGGTTTTCTTTCATCCATCTTGTGACTCAAATATGTTGTATGATTTTGAGTTTCTTAATCTTTTCCAGTATTTAGCACCAGTGATTGTGAATATTATCTATCCAAATGCAGTGCACCTACATGGCACTTCACAGTCCCCTTGATCTGCGGCCCTGGTGGCCATTTTATTGATAGTCTGAGATTTAATAGTCTATCGAGGGAGGCAGGGCCAGTCCCCATAACACCTTATGAATCAGGGAAGAGTTCTTTGAGTTAATAAAGTTATCAACATTAAGAAACTTAAATTTATCTAAAACAATACAGTGCTGGAAACTAAACAATTTTTAATCAAAAGTTTTTATGGCTTTCTTAAAAAGAGATCCTATGGGTTGGAGTGTTGTATCACTAGTTAGAGACCAAGAGGTTACACAATATTCAATGTGAGAAAACAAAATAGTGAATGTAGAAACATCTTAGCAACATGAAGGGACAGTTTTGCAAACTAAATTTGACTTTTTGTTAGTAACTTCCATATGATTTCAGGCATGTCTCGAAGACATAAAAACCTGGATGACTCTTAACTTTCTGCTCCTGGATGCAGAAAAAACAGAAGTTATAGTCTTTGAACCAGAGTCTTTGAAAAAGAAGCTGATTAGTCACTTCATTTGGATGGGATTAAATTGATATCAGATAATAAAGTGAACAGTCTTGGTGTTATTTTTGATCAGGACCATCATTTAAATCCCATATCAAAAAGGTTTCTAGAATTTCCTTCTTTCATGCGGAATATTGCAAAAATTAGGACTATCCTGTCTAAGGGTGATGCTGAGAAACTAGTCCATGCATATGTTTCTTCAAGGCTGGACTTTTGTAATTCTTTACTATCAGGAAGTCCACAAACTGTAGTTAAAAGCCTTCAGCTGATGCAAAATGCTGCAGCCAGAGTTCCGATAAAAATTAAAAAGACAGATCATATCTCTCCTATCCCAGCTTCTCTTCATTGGCTTCCTGTTAAATCTGGAACAGAATTTAAAATCCTCCTTCTCGCATATAAATCCTTAAATGGCCAAGCTTCATCTTATATCAGAGATATGATTGTTCCTTATGTTCCTAACAGAGCACTTTGCTCTCAATCTGCAGGTTTACTAGTGAGTCCTAGACAGACAGTTGCCTTTTGTATCTCTGCGTCTTCTTGAACCCCAGTCGGCAGATGGCCGCTCACACTTAGCCTGGTTCTGCTGGAGGTTTCTTCCTGTTAAAAGGGAGTTTTTCCTCTCCACTGTCACTACATGCATGCTTGGTGTGAGAGATTCAAGAAGAGTCAATGAGTAGATCCAATCAGCTGGTTTTCCTTAGATAGAAAACTTTGTATCAATTTGACTTTATGATCTGGTTGAATGGTGAAGTGCCTTGAGATGACGTGTTGTGGTTTGGGGCTATATAAATAAACTATATTGAACTAAATTTAAAATTAAGAAATCAAGATGCCAGAGTCTGGAGAGAAGTCATTGATTGTTTGGGATATCATAGCATTTGCTAGCTTGGTCCACTTTGTTTTCTGTAATCAAGGACATTATAAGGGCACTTCATGCGTCGATCTGCTGCAGAACTTGGCATATAGAAATATGTATGAAATATATATTACCACTACAAGAAAAAAATGATTGTTTACATGTTAATATGTATAAGAAAGTAAACAATTATGCAAATTATTATAATTAACAGAGACAATTTGCATGATGTCATCACAAAGCCATTGGAATGACTGTGTGCTTATTTCATGTTGGCTAATAGTGAGCAAGGTTTTATTCAAGTAAAACTTCTACACTTTTTCCCTGCATTTGAAAAGCAATGTTCCAAAACAAAAACTGCTCCTCTCACAGTGATGTAAGTATTTCAGATGTTGGTCCCAGTGAACACCAGCTGGCTGATGAGCTGTTACCCTTCTCTGAACATGACAACACTTCCTTGAAAAGCAGTGACTGCATTTGTTTTTCAGCCTCTGTTGCTGCAGTCCAGCTACAGTCCCCTTTTGCAAGTAAGAAATTCTGATTGGATAAAGAAAAGAATGTGGGGAGGTCTACAGCAGAGATTTCCAGGCTCCAGGAGAGAGGAAAGAGGACTGGCAGTATCTCATAAGTTGGAGAAAAATTCTTTGATTTTTATGTTCTTCCAGGACTTATTCCCAAATCTTATTTCTAGGAATGGCTCATATTATTGTTTTACACAAGTCAGATGCTGTGAGTACTGTGAGGTTTAAACAATTATTATTCATATTCTGCTCATTCTTTCAGTTTTGGAGAAAGCAACAGATTCATTTTTTTTATTTCTTTTAGTTAGGTATGTAGTAAGAAGTTTAGTTTTAGTTTTCTTAGTCAGATGCAGTTAAGGACAAAAAATAGTCAAACTTATGACAGATTAGCTTTAAAGTAATATTTAAGCCTAATTATTTCTTAAGACTCAGAATCCTACATTAAAAGTGACCCAACTTAAGTTTTGATTCGACCTGTGATTTAAAAGTTAGGGTAATATTGGGGCTTATCAGAAATATTTTAAAATACCTATTGGAAACACAAGAAAGCTAACTAACATTTATATAAAAAAAACAGTTTATCTGATTGTTGAGGAGGGCATCCCTTTTTCACAGGAGGCAATTTTAGACAAATGCATTTCTAAATATTTAACTTCTTGGTTTAATATAAGACATTCTAAATCTGACAGGATTTAGATTGCAAAGATTTTATGTCTTTTCAAATTTTCACCAGTTTGACACTTTACACTAGAAACCTGGGATTTTATGTAGTGGACAGACACTATGTTGTGCATGTGGTTCTTTCAATATATTACATAGCACTGTTTAATTCATGACTCAAGCACAAATCCTGAAGGTCACAATGGAAACCCCATAATCATGGTAAAGCATTGGGTTGGCAGCATCATTCACATGGGGATGATTAGGGTTCATGGAAAACTGGATGAGGCTAAAAGCAGGTCGATCCTGCAGGAAAGCCTGCAAGAAAAACAAGAACAAAACTTGGAACTTTGATGGAGGTTAACTTATAAGCAGAAAAACACGGGCGATAAATTTGATTAGAATGGTCTAATTAAATTTCGGATCTAAATGCAATTGAGAATCCAACAGAAGCATAGCCCTATAGATGCTGAGATTAACGCCATTTAGACCCCACCTCTGATGGAGGTGTTGGTGATAAAGATAAAGAGTCAGAATCTGCAGGGGAGGTAAGTCCAGACTAATAAATAGGGCTTCATATTTGTGCAAAGAAAGAAACTTTTAACACGTTTACAGGTCGTATCGGCCAGAAAATGTGTCTGACTTATCTGTTCTGTCATCATATATGTTAAACAGATTTTTTTCACCTTCCTCCTCATAAAGCAGCTGTCAGCAGTCGCTTCTGAGAACAGAGGGAATGAATCTTCCGTTATGCATAAAGAGCAGTTAGAAAGTACATAATTGCACCTGGTGGTTATTGTCTGATAATTAAATATTTTTTTGGCTTTAAAGTCATTAAATCAAGATTTAAAAAAGGTAAAAGGAGCGGATTCATCAATGGGAAATATTCCAGATCTAAAAACAAGACAAGGCCAGATGTGTTGGAGTTATTTTCCCAAGTATCCTTGTTTGGAAAGCAGGTCAAGCCAAGTGAATGTTTTGTCTGGATAATACAATCACTTGAGGATATGATTAGCTCCAAGGCATCTGTCAGCTAATGGGTTAGATTTGACTTTTAGGTTCCAAACCAGCAGATAAAGCCAATATAAATAGTTGTTCAGAAAACCCATGGAGTGGATGTAATGTCCTGCATAGCATATCCTGTCGCACCTCTTCCAGTCCACATGGGTCAGCAGATATAGTTCTTCATCAAATATCAGTCGATTAACTTCTTCTTCTCGTTGCAAAAGACTTTTCAGCATTTTTACAACTCACTGAGAATCTCTTTAATGTGAGCTTATCACACCCTCAAAGATTTAGAAACACAAAATGTTGTTTACTCTTAGCCTTGCCAACATGTAGTAGAGTTATATCATCTGTTTTTAACAGAAGTCAGTTATATTTTGGATGAACATGACCTAAGTAGACATTTATAGGCCTCGAGGGAAGGTTCTGGAGTTTGACTGTATAACAGCAGAAACAACCTACACTGTTACAGGTCAATGATGCATCTGATTTTACTGAGAACCATAAAAAATCAGAACACACTTTTGGGGCTCTGTTCTTTGTTTACTTGATGTAGGGCGACAGTGGCTTCAGATGT